TGTTATTTCTCCACCCCTCTCTCTTTTTTTTTTTTTTAACATTTTTGCTGTTAACAAGCATGTTATCTCTGGAGATGCAAACCCACAGTTTGAGAACTGCAAAACTAAGCATCTCTGATGGAATCTTCTAGACTGATCACTGAGTCCCATTGGGTAGATAGAAAGATTAACCTTAATAATCTATACAGAAGCCCCTGGAACCCCATAAGATTGGGTCCCTAATCCGTGAGCTATTGCAGGGGTTCTCAAAGTGGGGGTCTGGACCCCTCAAGGGGTCGTGAGGTTATTACATGGGGGGTCGCGAGTTGTCAACCGCCACCCCAAACCCCGCTTTGCCTCCAGCGTTTATAATGGTGTTAAATATGTCAAAAAGTGTTTTTAATTTATGGGGGGGGGTAGGGGATTTAGGATGTGTCTTCACGGCAGAGTTAACTCAGGCGACTGGCACGCAGGTTAGCCTAGCCTAGCCCGGGCGTGAGCAGTCACACTGCAAAGTCATCCACAAGTTACTCTGTCCTCACTGGTGCTGCGCTACCCGGGGATGTCTGGGGCCACATCCCAGGGGTTTTGTGCTGCAGTACACTGAGCTGCTCTGCGGTTCCTCCCCAGTGAAGTAACTTGGGCCCATAGGGGGAATTGTGGGAAGGCATTGGAGGACCATTGGCATACGAGGGATGGGGCCTGCATCCCCACTGCCAAGTGAGCAGGTTATTAGCCCTAGTGAAAGCATCACCCAGGCTCTAGACCCAGCTAACCAGGTAGAAAGCACCACCAAATGGAGGTCGGGAGGCTTTATTGTGTCCAGAGGGGGTTGGGACAACCCCTGTGTAAGAGCCTGGGTTAACGCTGCAGTGAAGACAGCCCTTAGACACGTGTTACTTTAGTTTGGATAGAAGATGTCTCCATCCTCTGGGCTGCCTTGCAGGTCTCACCCCTGGGAAGGCAGCACTGTTCTCTCAGGGAGATCCAGGCCCCCCCATCTCCTACAGGCCTGTGTTCTCTGTTGCCTCCTCCCCCGTTATATGCAGTGGTCTGGTCCGGGGGGGACTCAGTTTGAGGGAGATGCCAGCTGGCCCCAGCTCAGATCTCCTGCCCTCTCATCCCCACCTCCACTAGATCCGTCGCTCCGTCCCATTCACTTCCCTGCGCTAGCCTGTCACAGGATGGGGTTCCCTCTTCCTGGATTCTTGCTGCCAGCAGTCCTCCGGCACACCGGCACGCAGCGCTTTGTGTGTAGTGTGCTTTAGATATGTTTGCTCCCCACAGCATAAGGCTTTTCCCCAAGCCTTTACCTATTACTAAGGGGGGGGGGAGAATCTCCCTTCTCTGGCCTTCCTTACACCTTTCCTCCCCCTCCCCCTTCCTGCCTCTCCTTTTACTGGTTCCAGCTAATGAACTGAATCACCCCACTAATTAGTTAATCCCTTAGTACTTAAACTTAAACGTGGGGATGCTTCCTAAGTCCTCACTCAGTCCTTGGCTACTCACACTCTGTCCTGTTGCCCCATAAGTAAAGAGCTGGTGGGAACTTGGTTTTCATGTGTTTCATGCCTATTTTCTGTTTATCACATCACAAGCTCCGTTGTTTGTGAAATCCAGGGCCTGGTCCACACTAACCCCCCCACTTCGAACTAAGGTATGCAAATTCAGCTACGTTAATAACGTAGCTGAATTTGAAGTACCTTAGTTCGAACTTGCTGCGGGTCCAGACGCGGCAGGCAGGCTCCCCCGTCGATGCCGCGTACTCCTCTTCGCCGAGCTGGAGCACCGGCGTCGACGGCGAGCACTTCCGGGATTGATCCCAGAAGATCGATTGCCTACCTCCGGGTCCGGCGGTAGGCAAAGTGTAGACCTACCCCAGGACAGCCACGAAAATAATAGAGGCTTATTGACTGCACTAACTGAGAGTTAAACAAATGGCTCGATCTCTGCCTAAAGGTCTGGGGAAAAGATTTCTGATGACAGAGGAGTCTTTAATCTAGCAGGCAAAGGCATAGGAGAGCCAGCCGTTGGAAACTGAAGCTAGACAAAATTCAGACTAGAAATGAGGCACAATTTTTTTGAACCATAAGGGGAATGAACCATAGGAGCAGTTTACCTAGTAACATGGTGGATTCGCCATCAGCTGAACGCCTTAAGGCCTGGTCTACACTGGAGGGGGTGGGGTCGATGTAAGATACACAACTTCAGCTATAGGAGTAGCATAGCTGAAGTCGACATATCTTATTTTGACTTACCTCCCGTCCTCACGGCGCGGGATCAATGGTCGCGGCTCCCCTGTTGACTCCACTACCGCCGCTCCCCCTGGTGGAGTTCCAGAGTCGATGGGAGCACATTCGGGGATCGATATATCGTGTCTAGACGAGACGCGATATATCGATCCCTGATAGATTGATTGCTACCCGCCGATCCGGCGGGTATTCTGGACGTACCCTAAGTGAAGGTTGGAGATCTCTCTGAAAGATGTGATCTAGTTCAACCACAAGTTATGGGCTTGATGTAGAAATCACTGGGTGAGGTCCTCTGGCTTTTGTTATATAGGAGGTCAGACTAGATGGCCTTTAACTCTATAAATCTGGGGCAGGCTGCCCGTGTTGGGCGTTGGCGAGACCACAGCTGGCATATTGCAGTCCATTCAAGGCACCTTTCTACCAGGAAGATGTCAAAAAATAGGAAGATGGAGGGGGAGGGTTGTGCCGAGCCCAATGCGGTCCTTATCCATGACAGGCTCTAAGGTGCTAATGCAATACAAATAATAACCAATAATAATAACAGCCAAAGCCAGGAAGGAGCAGGAGGGTTTGACTTGTTAGGAAAGGCTAAAAGAGGAAAATATCTGTAGCTCGGCTAAGTGAAAACTGAGGTTCAGAGCAGAGGGATAGAATCCACCTAGCTGAAGAGTGCAAAGAGCAAGGCAGGAGAATGGGGTCAGTGGAATTGAATTAAACAAAGGAAAAATGCATCTGAATAGCAGGGAAAGCCCCTTCCGAGCAGTGAAGTCTGTTAGACCTTGTCTGCTCTGTGGATTTTTAGCATTTCTCTAGTAGTGCTGGTTCAGCTACACCCATTGCTAACAGGTACAGAATCTATTGTTTGTATCACAGTGGCCCCTAGAGGGCCCAGCTGAGATAAAGGCTCCGTGGTGCCAAGCACAATGCCGTACACGTGTTGTAGACAAGACACTAGAGTCTGCCTTGTTTCACTGCAGATCCAACACACTTTCTGCAAAAGGTGTGTCGTAAATGGCTTGGCCCTTTCAGCTCGAGCAGCCCCCAGGTGATGGTGCTTGGCACCAAGAGGCAGTTTCTGCTCTCACTTGCACCTGGGGATGGCCCTGATCCCGCATGGTCCTCAAGCACCTGAGTTGTCTTGTTAAAGAATTGGCGCTGCTCATGAGCGAGTCACACGTGGGCTCGGATACCTTGCTAAATTAGGGCGTAAATCTGGAGCACCTCCACTGAAGTCAGTGGAGTGACTCTGGATTGACACCAGCGCAACGGAGAGAAGAATTTGATCCTTGATTTCATCCACAGGTGGATTTCCTAGTCTGGATAGGATGGTAGCTGGAGTTAGAGGGGTGTATGTGTGTGCGCTGGGGAAGGGGTGCACAGTGCCATTAGTGAAGACAAGGGTAACTCCAATTCTCAAGCCTAACCCTGCTTCCCATTCACCTTTTGTGGGTTTTTTTCCCCCTCTCTCTTCCTCTAGGAGATCTGCGACGACCCCTATCTCTTTGTGGATGGAATCAGTTCCCATGACTTGCACCAGGGCCAGGTCGGGAACTGCTGGTTCGTGGCAGCCTGCTCCTCTCTGGCCTCCCGGGAATCTCTGTGGCAGAAGGTAGGGAAGTCCTTGTGCTCGGTGAAGGCACCTTTGCAAAGCTTTGGTGTCACATGTTCTGGAAGTTAACAGGTCATCTACAGAATAATGTCTCCCGTTGGAAAACAGTTTAAAATTATACACCTGATAAATAGCTCAGGCCTGATTCTCCTCACACTTAAATTGGTGTAAATCAGAAGTGACTCCACTGCTCTCTGTGTCACCACACCAGAGCTGATTCTTTGGGTCAGATCCTTAACTGGTGTAAATCAGTGTTTACATCACCTGAGGATTTTGGCCCTTTCTTTGTTTTCATGAATTAACACCAGAACCAAGCTCAAGTTGTACATTTAGGATGCAGATTTTACGCACACCAAATTTCAGGATATTTGGATCCAGGGGTTTGATTTGGCCCCATCTTTGTTTATATATAATCCCTCTCTCGTTATTTAAACTGCCCCCACCTCTGTAATATCTGAATTAATGCAGCTCAGACACCGTGGTCCTGGGCAGAATGCAGAGGTTCTCATGACAGTTTTAATTACATATGGGGATTCTATCCCCTGAGTTATTGTCAGGCACCCCATGGCTTGGAGCTGGGTGGGGGAAGATGTCTGATTAACGTTACACAATCGCCTGTTGCTGTATTTGAGCATCTACAAAGGATACGCAAGAGGAAGCTAAATCAGGGCTGAAGCTTGACTTAGGCTTTGTCTACACTAGCATTTTTGTTGGTAAAACGTTGTTGGTCAGGGGTGTGGAAAAACAGCCCCCCACCCCACCCCCGACTGACACAAGCTTCACCGACAAACGTGCCGGTGTAAATGCAGCTTACAGAAGGCTTTCCCAGATGCCAGCGGCAGTAGGCAGCCAGTGGTGCCCTCTAGAGGTGTCAGACAGTAACGCCTGCCTTCACCTTGTCTCCCTGGGCTGTAATGCAATGCAATGCATTCCTGCCGCTCCTGCAGAATATTCCCTCCTCGCAGCGCTGTTTGCGAAAGCAGCCCCTGCTCTGTGGGTGGGATCGGGGTGCTGCTGGGTGGCAGAGGGAACGCCGTGGCAAGCACAAGGTGGAATTTCGTGTGAGGCAGTTCAATTAATTTGAGAAAAATGGTATAACAGGAACGCTATGATGGAGGGAGTGAGGCACCTAGTGGCTTTTAAAACCTACAGAACTTGTAGAAAATAACGAGTCCCCTCTACCCACAGTTCTGCCGCCTCTGCCGTCTCCAAAACACATGCTCACATCGTCTCTGGGCACATTCCTCTACCTGCATCTCCTGTCCTGTATTGTTGCCTGGCAGAGAAACTTGGGGCAGGCTATACACTGGGGGCCTGATCATTCATCGATGCCAACAGAGCGATGCTGATGTACATCAGTTGAGGATCTGGCCTTGAATCTTGAGCTTCAATCAGGAAGCTAAGCAGGGGGCCCCAGACTGACTGTAGGCCGGTTGGTTCAAGGAATGCAGGCAGCTGCGTAGCATGGGCCTGTTGTGGTGTGGGGTGTGTGTGTGTGTGGGGGGGGGGGGGGATTTACACCCTGGAGCACGAGCTTTGATTATTCTTATCTTAGCTAGCTCCTGTATTACAGGCAGAGACGGATTAAGGTCTCCTGGGGCCCGGGGCCGGAGCAAGTGGGGGGGCCTCAGCGCCAGAACCATGGCCCTGCCCCACCCCTTCAGCCTG